AGCGTGCCTGTGCCTCTCTCTCTCTCTCTCTCTCTCTCTCGCTAAGTGGCCCCAGGCCGGGCACGAGCGGCAACGGCCTTGGTGTGAAGTTGGGCCTCTCCTGGGCAGCTCCCAGCCCAGCTCAAGTAGCAGCATCTGCAAATTGCTTTGTAGCTCATGCCAGGTAGCCCTGGGCCGGGCACAGGTGGAGCGGACCTTCCCTGCCCCTCCCAGGAGGCCCCAGAGCCAGTGCACCAGGCCGACGGCTTCAGACCGCGTCAAAGCACCAGCCAACTGCCTCCTCAGCTAACACACTCGGACACACTCAGTCCCACTGAAGTTAGTCTGTTCTGCGGGGTCGGCCCCTGCACAGTTCACCTTCCATGCGGCTTGTAGCCAGTCAGCCTGGGAGTAACTCCTTCGTGTTTCATGCCAATAGCAATCAAAGTTCAACTGCAGCAGAAGGGTGTACCCAGCCCACACTGGGGCAGAGGGCACACCTGGAGTGCCCAGCGCAGGGCATCAGGGAGGCTATGCCACTGCACCCAGCAGGACACCTGCCACATAAGGCCACTTTATCTATGTGGGAAAGTAATGGCAGAAAACTTCCTAACCTGGTGAAGGAAATAGACACACAAGTTCAGGAAGGTCCAAGAGTCCCAAACAAGATGCACCCAAAGTGGCCCACACCAAGACACACCATAATGAAAATGGCAAAGGTTAAAGACAAAGAGCATCTTAAAAGCAGCAAGAGGAAAACACTTCGTTACCTACAAGGGAGCTCCCATAAGGCTGTCAGCTGACTTCTCAACAGAAACTTTGCAGGTCAGAAGGGAGTGGCAAGAGATATTCAAGGTGATGAACAGCAAGGACCTACAACCAAGATTACTCTGTCCTGCAAAGCTGTCATTTAGAATCAAAGGACAGATAAGGAGCTCCCTGAACAAGAAAAGCTAAAAGAGTTCATCACCACCAAAATAGTATCACAAAAAAATGTTAAATGGTCTTTAAGAAGAAGAAGGAAAACAGATAAAAATAGGAATAATAAAATGACAATAAATACATATCTATCAACAATTACTTTAAATACAAATGGATTAAATGGTCTAATCAAAAGACAGTGTTGCTGAATGGATAACAAAACAAGACCCTTACATATGTTGCTTACAGGAGACTCACTTCAGATTGAAATTATTCATTGCAAATCTCTATTTTTATCACCATAATATTTCCCCTTTTTTTGTATAGCCAAGATTATCTATAGTTGTGGCTGCATTTTGTTTTTATACCAGAGAAGCTTATATGAAATAAAGATAGAATATTTTTATGTATTTTATTAATATGTCCTTTTCAACATTCCAGATGCTATTTAAAATATCTTCTAAAATATTCCAAAAGATAATAGGAAAATAATGTCTTTATTTTCTGTGCGAGTGCTACCAAAACCACGAATTAACATGTTCTAGTTAATTTTTACACATACATTCTTCCTTACCTGAAAATGTCCATTGCTTTGTATAAATTGATCTCATTTTCTTTAATATTTTTTAATTATGCTGCATAAAATTAGGGCTATGATTAGGTGGTTTTATATCTATATTTATAGATAGATTATATCTATCTATATTTTCTCAGATTGTTTTCTTACTATATTTTAAAATCTCTTATTAATTATAAACATTAAATGGTAAGTTGAATATTTTAGTTAGAGTTAAATATCTGGCTTCTATATCCTAAGTAACTGGGGAGCTATATTGTTCAATCATCTATTTCTTAATACATTATAAATAATTTTGGTTACTAGTTTGGTTATTTTCATAAATCACTGAAATCTTTTTTATTCTTATATACATTTGCGCATATCAATCTTATGAAAACAAGATGGATTCTTACTAAGTAATAAAGATATTCTTTACAGACTGTAGTTTGCCTCATAATGAATTGATCAATGCTTCTCAAATTTTATTGTGCATGCCAGTCACTGGGCGTCTTGCTAAAATGCAAAGTTAAGTTCGCATTTTGAGACGCAAACACATCACACTCTCCCTAGGGCATCTAATAATAACTCAACAGAAACTCCTTGAGCTAATATGCAGAATTACTTCACTGTGGGTGAGACAAGGGGTGATCCTGGAAGGAGCATGCGTGTGAGGGGTGCTCAGGTGTGACTTTCCATCCCTTCTCCACTACTTGCTCACTGTTTGGTCTTGGACAGATTTTTTAAATTGTTTTCAGTCAGTATTTCAAACGCTACTAGGCACTTGAGAATTAGTGATTGATTTAAGATTTCAAAAGAAATAAACCGTTTCAATGATGACAATTTGAATTCAATTTAACAAATATTCTTGAATAAATGCTATGAACCTGAGAAGGACCCTGGTTCATACCAAACCACTGTTAACATGACTTGCTCCTTTCTGAAAGTCAAGCAAAAACAATTATGTGATATATAAACATTGGCATTACTATCTGGGATATGTGTCTGATGGCCTTTAGATATCAGCATGTGTGTGTGTGTGTATATATATATATATTTTTTCACTTAAAATATTTTATTAGCCAAAACGTAATGTTTTTATGTTGCTCAAAATTCTTAGTTATTCTGCCCGGCTGGTATGGCTCAGCGGTTGAGCGTTGACCCTGCACCAGGAGGTCACCGGTTCGATTCCTGGTCAGGGCACAGGCCCAGGTTGTGGGCTTATCCCCAGTGGGGGGCCTGCAGGAGGCGGCCAATCAATGTTCTCTCTCATCGATGTTTTTTTCTCTCTCACCCTTCCTCTCTAAAAATCAATAAAAGAAAAAATAATTTTAAAAATTCTTAGTTATTCCTACATTCTAGAGGTAGACCATGCACCCAAATGCCTCTCACTTTGACTCTTCTGATTAAATCAGATACAGAATTGCATTCAGCTAGATGTATGTCACACAGTACAATAGCTTTCTTCGTGCGTCAATAATTATATGATTCAATTGGTCATGTAAATTAGGATCAAGAAACTAGCCATTTCAGAAATTAAATAAGATATCAAATGTCTGCTATTGGGAAGTATTCCAAGACAATGACTTAAAATAAAATCTGATTATATACCATGAACCACTCTAAACCCAGACGAGGTCTCTTCCACTAACCTGATGACAGAAAGCAGAACCCGTCGTTAATAATAAACCCAAGAGCAGTAGCTGGTTTTGTACAAATTATAGTTGGCTGATGTTCGCTGTGTTTCAAATTGGGTAATTAATTATATTAGCTACATTGCATGTAATACACATATTAGAAACAATGATATGTTTGCAATGTAACAAATGCTCTTTTGTTACTGTTAACAGATGTGACGTACATACCAACTGTTTGCCTTTCATGCCTTCAAAACTACTGGCATTGCCCTGGCCAGTCTGGCTCAGCGGTTAGAGCGTCGGCCTGCGGACCAGAGAGTCCCGGGTTCAGTTCCCACCAAGGGCACATACCTCAGCTGCAGTTTGTCCCTGGCCCTGGTTGGGGTCATGTGGGTGGCAGCCAGTCGATGTGTCTCTCTCACATCAATGTTTCTCTCTCTCTCTCTTCCCCCCTCTCTCCCTTCAGCTCTAGCTGAAGATAGATGCAAAAATGTCCTCGAGTGAGGATAAAAAAACAACTATTGGCGTTAAAAGTTCCTTTTTATTGCCCTGGCCAGGTGGCTCAGTTGGCTGGAGTGTCATCCCATACACCAAAAGGTTGTGGGTTTGATTACCTGTCAGGGCACATACTTAGGTTGAGGGTTTGATCCCCGGTCAGGGCTCCTACAGGGAGGCAACCAATCAATGTTTCTTTCTCACATTGGTGTCTCTCTCTCTCTCTCTCTTCTCTCTAAAATCAGTAAAACACATACTCTCAGGTGAGGATTTAAAAAAATGGATCAACCAATGAATACTTAAATAAGTGGAAGCACAAGTTGATATTTCTCTCTCTCCCTCTACCTTCCTCTCTCTCTCAAATCAATTTTTAAAAGAAGAAAGACAGCCATCCCAGAGCTTCCCATTACAGCGGCATTCCGACGTTTGCTTTCGAGTATCTCTGAGTTTTAGGGAACATAAAGTAAGAATCACCTTGTGAACGGCTGGGACTCCTCAGGGGCTCCCCCTCCTCTGTGACTGAAAGCGATCTAGGACCTTGCGTCAGGTCTGTTGGTGAAGACCTCATCCTTCAGCTCCCAGGGCCACTAACGGGGAGGGGCCGTATGGGCGGGGCCATGTGGGCGGGGCCATGTGGGCGGTCCTCCAGGGCACTGGGTGGTCCTCTGCAGCCCTGGGCAGTCCTCCGCAGCCCTGGACGGTCCTCTGCGGCCCTGGGCGGTCCTCCAGGGCACTGGATGGTCTACCATGGCCCTGGACGGTCCTCCGCAGCCCTGGGTGGTCCTCCGCAGCCCTGGGCGGTCCTCTGCGGCCCTGGACGGTCCTCTGCGGCCCTGGGCGGTCCTCCAGGGCACTGGATGGTCTACCATGGCCCTGGACGGTCCTCCGCAGCCCTGGGTGGTCCTCCGCGGCCCTGGACGGTCCTCCGCGGCCCTGGACGGTCCTCTGCGGCCCTGGGCGGTCCTCCAGGGCACTGGATGGTTTACCATGGCCCTGGACGGTCCTCTGCAGCCCTGGGCGGTCCTCCGCAGCCCTGGACGGCCCTCCACGGCATGCAGGGGTGAGCCCCTGTTGCAGGTGCTGGAGATGGTGTGAGCAGCAGGGTCACCAGCGCAGACGGAGGCTGTGACAACTGGCCTCCGCCGCCGGGGGAGCTGACTGTTCGCAGTGGCCATGAACGGTTCCGTGTTGCCGTTCAGGCCGGTGGGCATCGCAGCGTCACACGCTCACGTGCCTTGGAGCCCGCAGTGACCTCTCGGTTGAGGCCTGAGGACCGGTGCCACCGCGCGGGGATGGGAGCAGCGGCCTCCGTTCTGACGCGTGGGCGCAGGGCTGGCCCACGGTGCAGGACGCGGGCGGAAGGGGAGCCTCCGTGCTGGCGACAGCACCCGTGACCCCTGCTCCGTTTTCAGGGTGTTTCTCTCGGAGGACGGCAGCCTGAGAATACGCAACGTGACCAGGGCGGACGCCGGGCCCTACACCTGTGTAGCGGCGAACCAGTTTGGGGTGGCGAGGAGCACCGGCAGCCTCGTGGTGAAAGGTACTTGAACCCCTCCCTGTGCGGTGACCCCCGGACACGCATGTGCACCCCACGGCCCCAGTCCGCGCCAAGCCCACATCCTGCCGCGTTCGGGAATAGTGGTTTCCCCGTTTAGCACGCGTGTGTCCGGTTCAATACTGGCGCGCTCTCTGCCGGTGGCACCTGCCCGTGGGGGACGCTGGGCACTGGAGACGCTGCCAGTGGTCATTGGCACGGAACCTGCACCACAGCATCGGACCGCTCACAGGTGCTCGGGGCGGGGGCCACAAACCTTCGGACCACGTCCGTGGATAATGTTTCTCGGGGTTAAATTCCCTTCAGTAACTCACCTTGCGCGAAAGTTTTACCTGGACATGGGGCCCATAGGTGCGGGAGCAGTTCATTTCCTGCCACGCCCCCAGGCGCTTACCTGGTGAGAAGGTGTCTCCTGCACACCCTTGTCTTTGCTTCCAAAGAGAAGCATGGAGGAGGCGGGGGACGTCCTGGGAACGGTGCGTGTTCAGTACATATTTATCCGTGGAGTGAAAGAACCCACCTTAGACCACTTCGTCCTCGTGACTTCTGTTGCGCTTCCTTGCTCTGGATGCTGGAAGATTTCGATGTTTCAGGGCTTAAGCTTCTTGGCCTACGTTGCAGTAAAGGGCGTCAATGTTTTCGCTTCCCCAGCCTCAGGGTCTGTGTGTGTACACGTCCAACAGCAGGGGCACTCGGCAAGCCGGGCACAGCGCAGCACTGCGGGAACCCACAGACGGCGGGAGGGTCCTGCCGCGGCGTGCTCAGCACAGACCGGACCGGGATTTACACGTGCAGAAAGGGCACAGTCACTCTGCATGAATATCACGTCATTTCCACTTGCTTATGCCTAATAACAAAGAGGATGGTGCCGTTCTTCACCTTCCTGAATCCACGTTCTGTTTCACAGGAGGGCGACCTGTTCCTCCTTTGCCGCTCGGCCATGAAAACATGCACACAAATGAGAACACAAAGGCACACGCTGAAAATGACTAATAAGCCCGGCCACTGTGGTTCAGTGGACTGAGCATCGCCCCGTGGACTGAGAGGTCTCGGTTCGATTCCCAGTCAGGGCCCAGGCCCGGGTTGTGGGCTCGATCCCCAGTCGGAGGCGTGCAGGAGGCAGCCGATCCCTGTTTCTCTCTCACATCCATGTTTCTATCTCTCTCTTTCTTCCTCTCTCTCTAAAAAAAATCAATAAAAATGTATTAGAAAATAAAAGATAAAAATAATAAACACGAAATGTGTGCACAGGACGGACAGACGCATCGTGAGAAACACTGCTTTGTTATTGATCTGTAGAGTGCCATCTGGACCAAGTGGTGGGGTTGCTGTGCAGATACAATTTTGAGGAAAGTCTCCGGTCAGACCCTCTCAACGACACTACGTCCGATGTCCCTTCACGTGAGGGAGGTGTCACTACCGAAGAAGTCTCGCCTTACAGCCGACCAGTCGGAGGCTTCAGTCTGAGAAAGAACCGTAATAGTGTGCATGGGTCCAACCATCTTCTTGACTAGTGAGAGTGTAGTCATCTGGTTATTTGCTAAAATGATTTCGTGTGTGCGCGCGCATGTGTGTGCTCATCTGTAACATCCATTTGACTGTCATTACACAAACATAATTTTGTTCCTCAAACCAAAATCAGCATCAACTGACCTTACAGATCAGCAGGGAGATAAAGGAACAAATGAGAAATTTGGGTAAAGCTGATAAAACAATCATCTCTCTTTGAATGCCTTTATCAGCCTCAGTCATGCACGACGTGTTGTTGTTTGGTTGCTTGTAAAAAGATAATAGTTACAACAGCAAGATATTTCCCAGCTTAGTTTTTAGCTGATAAGGCTTATCTGTGTTTAAGGGGATTCTGACATTGTCTGCCCTGCACATCTGAAATTTCTGTCTGGCTGATGAGACAGGAGAAGTGTTTCAACGCAGACGTCCCGAGCTGGTTGGCAGGGCGTGGAACGCGGGGGCATCTCCCCGGGGCACCGACAGGGAGTCAGAGGACAGATGCCGAAGGGTCCTTCCGTTGGAGGCCCGGGTGGAAATGACAATGGGACGCACACGAGGAGGTATACGAAAGGCACATAAGAGGGGAATTGTTCGATCTGGCACTTGGAGAATTATTAACAGCAGAGAACAGCAGGCTATGCAGCGGCCCTGTTTGCAGGCAGCATTTGTTTTGCTCCCACTGGAGAAGCTTCGGATGTTCAATTATCGGCCTCATTGCTTCGGCCGTATTTGCAGCGGAAACGCCGGGACGTGGAAAAGCATGTCTAATGTGCGATTGCAGCTCGCGGCTGTTCGTGGGGCTGTTGCTCTTCGTGCCGAAGTCTTCGTCACCCCAGCGGCGGCCGGCCTGTCCGGCTCCCCAGACGGGCAGGGGCGCTAACACGGTGTCTGTCTCCGAGGAAACACCACCCAGGTGGGTGCTGGGGCTGTGTCCTCACGAGGCAGTGTCAGGGGGCTGAGCCGGCTGCATGGGGTCCAGCAGAGACACAGCTTCACAGAAGTGACAAGATGTGTTGGAATTTGCCCGCCAACTTTCGTCGCTTGAGCAGACACCGCGGAGAAGTCTCCCTCCCACACTCTGGACCTCGCCCCGGAAAGGTTCAGGTCCCCACCCAGCCCACGTGGGCGAGTTTCTGCTCCCCAGACCCCGTGCGCAGGCAGCCTCGCCGGCGTGCTCAGTCCCGGATTCCTTCACCTGACACACCCTCGCTTTCCTTTTCCGTCAAGAATGAACCGCTGGCCCTGGCCAGCTTGGCCCAGCAGTCAGAGCGTCGGCCCGCGGTCCAGAGAGTCCCAGGTTCGGTTCCTGCTCGGGGCACATAGCTTGGTTGCAGTTCGTCCCCAGCCCCGATTGGGGTCATGTGGGTGGCAGCCAGTCGAGGTGTCTCTCTCACATTGATGTTTCTCTCTCTCTCTTTTCCTCCCTCCCTCTCACTCTATCTGAAGATGAATGCAAAAGTGTCCTGGGGTGAGGATTAAAAAAAAAAAAAGAATGAACCGATGACTAGAATTAGTGGGTGATCACACTGTAGGGTATAACAATGTGGAGTTCCTGTATGGTACACTGAAATGAATACAACCAATTTAAGACTGTATACCAACTATACTTACATTAAAAGCAACAACTTAAAAATAAAAACTTTGAGCCCTGGCCAGTTTGGCTCAGGGAATCCCGGGTCTGATTCCGGCCCAGGGCACATACCTCAGCTGCGGTTCGACCCTGGCCCCAGTTGAGGTCATGTGGGTGGCAACCAATCGATGTGTCTCTCTCACATCAATGTTTCTCTCTCTCTCCGTCCCACTCTGTCTGGAGATAAATGTAAAAACATCCTCGGGTGAGGGTTAAAAACATAAAATTAGCCCTGGCCGGTTTGGCTCAGCGGTTGGAGCGTCGGCCTGAGGTACAGAGAGACCCGGGTTCGGTTCCCGCTAAGGGCACGTACCTCGGTTGCAGTTTGTCCCCGGCCCTGGTTGGTTGTGCAGGTGGCAGCCACTTGATGTGTCCCTTTCACATCGATGTTTCTCTCTCTTTCTCTTCCTCTCTCTCCCTCCCGCTCTATCTGAACAAAAAATGGAAAAATGTCCTCAGGTAAGGATTTAAAAAAAAAAAAAAAAAAAAAACATAAAATTAAATTAAAAATCTGAAAAACCAAACAAGAACTTCGCCGACAGCTGGTTTAGTCCGTGGGGTGGAGGAAGGTGTCTGAGTGCCTGTGTATGTGACCTCAGTCCCCTCCCGAGCCTGCAGGGCCGCGTGCTGAGGACTCGGCGGGGGGCCGGAGGGAGGCTGGCCGTCCTGTGCGGTGCCGAGAGAAAGCCAAGGGCCCTGTGCTGTCCGCACGCTGCTCCCAGAGAGCAAGGTGGACCCTGACACCGCAGGGCTGTCCCGCACCCTGGCCGTCATTCCCACAGAAAGGCCCTCCGACCCAAGTCCGGATCTCAGTCTCGGGTTCCGGAATCGCCGGAAGCGGGTTCTTTCAGGCCCGAATAGAATGGGGTTGGGGAAGGGAGGGCGGAGAGTCGAACTCACCCGGAGTCTCCTCTTCTGGCTTTTATTTCCTCGCCTCGTCACTCCTCACCCCCACGTCAGCGCAGAAGAAGCAGCCTCTTGGGCTGGGCCGCGCGACAGGGAGGACGCGTCTCCTAACCCCCTGCGCTGGCACCGCAGGCCCCCTCGCCCAGCGCTCTGCGCCCGTCTGGCCGCCAGTCCCTCGGGAGCGAGCGTGGGCGCCCAATGGCCGCCGTCGCGTGCTAGCAGCCTGGCCGTGAGCGGCGGGCACGTGGATTCATTAAGCGGAGTCCACGCGCCCTCGCCCGACGTGGACGTCGGACCCCGTTCTGATCGCCTGTTAGTGCAGAAGCGCGTTCCGTTCACGCGGTCACGTCCAGGGACACCGCAGTGGACCTTGCAGGCTCCCGAGCCGTGTTTCCTCCGTCAGACGCCTCCGATTGTACGCGGTTGATTTCTCTCGCCGGTTCTTCATTGGTTCCCTTTGCTCGGGGCGCTGTCTTCTAACGCGCGTCCTGAATAGTTCCAGCGTTGACGTGGAAACGAAAGGGCGAGCGGGCCGCTGTTGGCCGTGGTGCCCCTGTGCAACGAGCTCGAATCGGACTCGCCGGCGACGCCAGGGTGCCCAGGGCACTGAGCAGGTAACCCTGGGCTGGCTCAGCGCTGCGGCTCACCGCCCCCCAGCCAGCACGTGTGGGAAGAGGGAAGCGTGTTAAGTAACGTCGGCCACCTGGTGTGGTTGGATCACCAGAGGGCAGAGTCAGCATCTCGTCGCACGACTGGCTGCTTTGTCTTCCCCGTGCGAGGTTTGGGTCGTTCCGCTGTGCGGTCCTGTGAGCATCCCTGAGTTAGTCACTTTCTCCTTGGCTTCCTCAGGTCGGCTGCGTTTCCTACGCACTTGATTACTCCTCAGATCCGTCTCTCCTGTGACCCTGAGATACCAACCTGCCTTCCCGCAGGAGCCCGC